AATCCATACATATAAAAAATTACATTTCATGAACAGAATTGTGGAATTGAGAGCAATTTCAAAATTGTCTTACTTTCTTTGATACACCCTGTAGTTTTAATTATGTATGGCCGACACCAATCATGTGCACAGAAATGCTATATATATTAGGCATGTCCCGATTGTGCTCGACAACTTTTGAGCAACATTTTGCGTTTAGAGCAACTTTTTTCGGTTGGAGCAACTTCAAGCAACTTTTTCCTTTTTGAGCAATTTTTGAGCAACTTTTCACTGGAGTTCAAACTTTACAGTATGAAATGTTTGCATGTGATAGACAACTTCATTTTCTTGCTTCTCACGATCAAATATATATATATATATATATATATATATATATATATATATATATATATATATGCTATTCGTTTTACCTCAAAAAAGGAGATGCCATTTTCGCAAGGTTAGTTGGTTGCACTTGTTTCGACCACGATTTTTTCCTTTGCTTTTGGGTGTGCTTGTGTTGAATGTTTGCCTATATACTAGTGGTCTCTAATTAGTATGACGTAGAGAGCATTTCCAGAAGTGACCAATGAGAGCGTATATGTTACCAATTGAGTCCTTATTTGGCCAGTTGGGCACCCTAGCCTGAGTGACTTAAATCTTACTCTGGGGAACTCACACTGGGCCCTAATCTTGGTTTTTGTCCGCCTCTGGAAAACGTTTGAAATATTCACTGCAACCTTGAGTAGCAAAGCTAATAAAACACTGTCTAAAAAATATTTTAATTAGGCAGATAAACATGAGGCGCCAACGCAAGTGGGTTGAAATATTCAAAAGATTTTGATGATAATCCTTGTAACGGTAGATGTGACAACCAGTTTGGTGTATGGGTTCAATGTATTATTTTATGTATTAAATTGAGAAAATGGAAAATATATTTCCCTACTTTCACACATTTTTGTTAAAAATATATTCCCTTTTAACCTGTACAGAAAAGTAAATAAACTATCGGCATAATTACAAGTCTTTTGCATTACTAGAGGAATGGAAATACAACTTCACGTGTAAGGGTACCAATACCAGGGCATATTTTATTTGCTTGTTGCCGTGACAACAATTTTGGTCATTTTGAAGTGCAATGAAAATTGGCAAAAACATTAGAAGTGGAATGAATATACGAAGATTGGTTGCTCAATGTTGAAAGCACAAAGGCATCACGCATGAAGAACGTTGGAGAAATGTTGCATGACAGGGCGTGACCGCTTTCTTTTTTAACACATAACAGGCACCACTTAATCCGTATTCTATATCGCGTGTTTGTCTTATTTAAATCATATCATGTCAGTAAAGTCGGCACTTCAATTGCCGTCATTACTTCAAAATTTTACTATTCTTTTTTTTTTACTCTGAATATGATATAATTCTGTTTATATGCAATACTGTCACCTCGTAACCTGTAAAAATATAAACAATGAAAATATCGACCTACCGTATTTAGCCCTTATACAAACAAAACTTTTGAATTGTACTGTTATACACCAGCTAGTTTGTTTAATTTATTATTTAGGCCGGAAAGCATGCATGTTGGTCCCTTGTGGGCTTTTTTAGTATACCAATTAAGCGGGTTATATAACTACAGAATTTTATTCTACTTTCAAATCAAGTAATATGATACAAAATACCCTTTCTCTTTTAAAGTTATTGGAATAAAAGTGTTTAACCATAATTTAAAAATTTAGGGGATAGACTGGAAGACATGCCTCAAATACCAGGAAACCTAAGAATTATTAATCAAACAACAATAGTTATACTATTGGAATTTTAAGAAAACTGATAAAGAATGAAACACAATAAATTATTCTGATTACACTGTAATTCAAATCAGAACTACAGGTAATGGAATCGATAATAAATGTAAATATTTTTAAAAGTCTAATACAAACTAATAACCTTGAATGATAAGACTTAGGTCTAGATTCAGCCCCTTAATAAGCAAAGAAATTGTACATTTTAATTATCTTTGAGGCATTTATATCAGTAATAAACAAAGCTTTAAATCTTTTATATTACGCTACTACGCTACTACGCTTACTGTGATACTACGCTTACTACGCTACTACGCTTACTGTGATACTACGCTTATTACGCTACTATACGCTTACTACGCTACTACGCTGGGTCTCTGTAAAGCCCGCCGCACACTAGAGCTATCAGCTGAGCTGAGCGTCACGCGTGACTGTTGGCGTAAGCAAGTTTCTCAGGTGTGCGGGGACGTTTTGAGAGATTTCCGGCATGCCTGCCATTAGCACTGAATGTTCAACATGTTGA